GAAAAGCGACTTGTGGTAGTCTGCAATCATACACTTACAATTGCATCAGAATGGATTGTCACGACGTTTACATGTACAGTACTGTGTCGATATGTGATGGGGCCTGTCGATCAGCCATATTCGGAGAACAAGGTGGGTGTACGTACATACAAGTTTTGATTAAACTCGAAGCATATTACTGCCATCTTACTCGCTTTTGATTCTCCCAAGTATTAATATTATTTGTTTTGTTTGTTTAATATACATTCATGTCCGTTCGAGATATTTGTCAGGGTGTGTTCAGTAGAGGGGGATCTATAAATAGCCAGAGTCAGAACGGTTCGAGGAAGTAAATCTGAAGATGATGGCCGAGAGCCCGATGTCCGAATAGGGTTATATCAAGTCAGGGTTGGTTTTCGCCGGTGAATTGTTTGAGGATAGGGTTGGAGGTAATGAGGCCATATTGGGGTACACGAGTGCGAGTGGGAGAGACTGGATAGTCTATTTATGGGCAAAGTCAGAGGGGGTGGTGATTAATTAAGTTTAAATTTAATTTGTAACCGCCCAAAAGGAGGTGAGGTGGTCACGAATAACGGTGATGAGCCCTGTCACATTTATCCTTATGGGGAAATTAGGTGACGAGATGTGACAGAATGCACTAAGGTCGGTTCACAAGTGTCGCAAAGCCGCCCTCCGCTCAGGACGACGCCTTCTGTTCACTCAATCATCCTCCTCCTCCCTCTCCTCCTCCTCCTACTCCTCCTTCTCCTTGTTTCCTCTTCCTCCTCTTCTCCCTTCCCTCAAATCTCACCTTGACACACCACCCCGCTTCAATCTCGTAGGGTCTTGCTGCCTTCCCTTCAACACCGCCAATTTGTTGTAATCTGCCCATCACACCGTTGACGACCCAATCCTAAACCCAGACTTCACATATATCATTTCGTTATTATTCCCTTTTCGCACACAGCAACCAGGAGAAGAAGTAGAAGACCCAAAGGGATTCAAGTCGGGAAAGAACAAGAAACGACCAGAGAACAAGAAACCCAACCCAAACCACTCCATCATCTTTCCTCCTTTTCCTGATTTGCCTTCCTCGACAACCAACTGGAAACAAGGAAGACCATATTCATCCATTTATCAATCCTCCCACTTCCGTCCTTGGTTTCTCGCGCGTGTCTATCCCTTCACAGCTATAGTCATCAACACACAACCTCGACGTTCCTGCTTACGCTTTCTCTTGCTACTCTCAACCTTACCTCTACCTCCCACTTTTTACGCCCGATTACTTTCGGCTTTAACCGTCAAACATCCACATTGCCACTCTACTCGTGCCTTTTGACTCTTACCCTCTTCCAAACCCGATTACGCCGTTTCAGCTCTTGGTGGCACGGAGAGAAGTGAAGGAAAGAAGAAAGCAAGGCTCTCTGTTATTTTGCAAAGATGGGAAATTGTGTGTCTACACAGGATAGAGAGGCGCAACAGCGTAGTGCGGAGATAGATAAACAGATTGAAGAGGATTCGAGAAAGTTTAAGAAGGAGTGTAAGATTTTGTTGTTAGGTGAGTTTTTTGTTTCTGTCTTCGCTTTCTCTTTTCTTTCCCTTGTTTTCTTTCGTTGGTGTTGCTTGGTCTTCCAGTTTCCTTTGTGTCTCTCATCTCGTGCTTGCGCCCTTTTGTCCTGTTCCTGAGAGCTGGCTTTCGACCCTGGTATCCTGCTTTGACGAGTTTCATGGGTTGTAAGCTTTCCGGGATGGAGATATCCTGTTGGTGTTTTGGTGTTATCATCGTATACTCCATTCTCACAAGGTTGGCGACGAGATGAGATGAGACATACCTCCGTCACCTCTGTTTCCATCCCGTCTTGCCGCATCACCATGTTCTCGTCCAAACGAGGCTTTATTACATCTTCAGTCCCGGCTGATGATAGCGAGAGTTGGATAGATGAAAGGAGGGTCTTGGAATGGAATCATCAAGGGTTGTAGAAGCGTTGCACAGATGGGGGGGATGGGAAATTGGACCAGGAGGGTTTTTTGGTTATTTGAATGATTGATCAGCATTAAGAAGCAGAAGTTGGGAGGGAAAAGGGTCTGATGGAGACGTTGAAGACGAATGAGAAGTTGGGCGGGAGAATGTGGCTGCTCGTCGGGGTAGGCGTTAATGCGTATATGCTTCGTCCCGATACGACATAGACGAATCATGCTTCACGAAATTGGGGTTTGCATATTTGCATACGTTCTTACTTTCTCGTGCATGTCCTTCTATCACGAATCATCATGGAGCTAACATCTTCTTTTGCTTTCGTGTCTAGGGTCCGGTGAATCAGGGAAATCAACAATCGTCAAACAGATGAAGATCATCCACCAGAATGGGTATACAAAGGATGAACTTATGACGTTTAGAACGACTATATATCGAAATCTTTTGGAATCTGCAAAGGATATTCTCATGGCGATGAGAAAGATTGGAATTGATTGCAAGAATCCTTCGAATAGGGTAAGTTCTTTTCCTCTCTTTTCCGCCGGACATGTACATGCTTACTGGCTTGTTTATGTTGTTTTTCAACCAGGCAAACGCAGATCGAATATTAGACTACGAAGTCGTAGCATCCCCTACGTTCTACTTTTCGGAAGAATTAGCTTCAGCTATTTTTTCGCTATGGAAAGATCCTATAATTCCAACACTTATGGATCATTCGTCAGAGTTTTATTTGATGGATAGTGCGAGCTAGTGAGTGTCTTGTTTGTTTCGTCTTGTCTCTCTTTCACCCTTCTGCTTTGTTCCTTGTTGATATCTGTCATACGGCGAGGAGATATTGATGTGTCTTTCTTAGCTTCTTCACGGAAGCTATGCGAATAGGAACTCCGGATTATGTACCTACGGAGACGGATGTGCTGAGAGCGAGACAGAAGAGTACGGGGATTACGGAGACGAGGTTTACGTTGGGACCTTTATCGTGAGTTCCTCCTGTCTTCGTGAAGTTGTTTGCTGTGGAGGTGTGGATATATGCGTCGCTCTATCTATTTCAGATTGTCCCCATCTCTCCTTCCTTTCATTCTGTCTGTCTTGTTCTCTCTTGAACACATTGTGCTGACTTTGCATTTACCTCTTTCCCCACATATCTCGGTTATGTGCGCTTATCCTGACACTGTTGGCTGTGCTTTCACATACCAACTAATCAACTACACTGCTACCCGCTGCCAAATGCCATGATCAATAACCTACGCAACACTGCAGAATACACATGTTTGACGTGGGAGGTCAACGATCGGAACGGAAAAAATGGATACATTGTTTTGAGAGTGTGACAAGTATCATCTTTTGTACGGCGTTGAGTGAGTATGATCAGGTTCTGCTAGAAGAAAGAAACCAGGTGAGTTTTATTCGCTTTATTCGGGAAATTGCTTGTTCGGATGTTGACAAGACTGTTTCTTTTGTTATCCTCTTGTAGAATCGGATGGCGGAATCACTGGTATTGTTTGATTCTGTGATCAATTCGAGATGGTTCCTTCGAACATCGATAATCTTGTTCTTGAATAAGATTGATGTGTTTAAGAACAAGTTACCAAAGGTGTGTAATCTTCATTATATTGCTCTCTCGAGAACTTTTGATTGACTGCCTAATAGGTACCACTGGAACGATATTTCGCGGAATACACGGGAGGAGCGGATATCAATAAAGCTGCTAAATACATCCTGTGGAGATTTATGCAAGCAAACCGAGCGAGACTGAGTGTGTACCCTCAGTGAGTCTTTTTGAACGGCCGTATTCGAGTATTTGAACAAGTGGTTGACCGATTGCTTCTTTTTTGTAGTCTGACGCAAGCGACAGATACAAGTAACATCCGACTAGTGTTCGCAGCAGTGAAAGAGACGATATTACAGAATGCTTTGAAGGATTCGGGGATCCTATAGCGTTGGCGCTTCTTTCTTTCTCTTTCTTTTCCCTCCCTCATCATCGTCATTCACACATCTAACCCCCTTCATCTAAAAGCGCACCCCTCCTTTTCGCCTCCTTCAACTCCTCCCGTTGATCGCTGCATCATTTCTTCATCATTTTCGGCATTTTTTTCATTCAGTCGTATTCCAATCGCTAGCTAGCTCGCTGCATATATCACCTCCCCCAATCCAATCATCCACACATACACTCAGTCAATCATTTTCGTTTCCGAACCTCCTCCTCTCCCACTACCTACGCGTGGCTCCTATCTGAATCTGTCTCAGTGTCTCTTTCTGTCCTATCTGTCTATCACTATCACTATCACTCTCTCTCTCAATCATGCACAACGCACATTTTATTTTTCCATCATCAATCCAAGTTTCTTTTCGTTTCCTTTGGTTACGTTGATTTTTTTTTGACAATCGGTATATGCTATTTCTCTCCTTTGTTTCACACGTCTCTGCTGGTCTGAAATTTGTTCCACATCCTCCTATTCTCTTTCACACAGTTACACATTTGCACTTACATCATCGCCAACTTCCCCTCCCCCTCCCCCTCTATCGTATTCACACTTCCTTTTACTTATCTATACGTCCCTCTCTTTTTTTTTCCCGCCGATGGTTTGCTAGCTCCTCCTCCGTCTGAATTCTCTTTTTTTTTTTCTTTCTTTACCTTCCGCCTTTTCCCTTTTCTTCTTCTTCTTTTGTGTTTCAGTGGTTTTGGATATTCTCATTTTAGGTTGTGGCTGTGTGGGCGGTTGCGTTGGTGTTTGGTTTTTTATATACTTTCCCTTACGAATGTTTTTTGCGTAATTTGGTTGGTGGGTGGTGAACTTTTGAGGCGTTGTGTTTTTTTTTTTCATTGTTTTTCGATATATTCAATATATTCATATTCAAACATGCATCTACGGATAAGGTGTGAATTCTTGCAATTGTCATTTATCGTCGTCGTAAGATAGAATTCTGGATAAGCTAGCGAAAGTACTGTAAGTCAGTCAATTCACTGTCAGTTAGTCCTTCAGAAAACCTCGGAGAGTGTTGCAGGTGGTTCCATACGTGTTATAGTCTTCAATAAAAAAGAATTCACGGGCACATGGTGTAGTTGGTTATCACATCTGCTTAGCATTAATAGCATGCAGGGGGTGCTGGGTTCAATTCCCAGTGTGTCCATAAGAGCTATCAGTTTGGTATTTTTTTTCTTTCTCTCGTTCCGCGTTACAAATGGTGTTAAGTTAATACTATCGACGCTTGATTCTCCTAAAACTACATCTACTGCTTCTTCAATATCTACTCTGGCGAATAACTCTTCAACTTCGATGATAACGAGCACCTCTAGTGCGAACATAACTGAACCTCAAAGCCGTAGTTCAAGTTCTATTAGTACTTTCAGCGGAAGTCCTTACCCGCACACCTCTGGATCCAAGTCGTAAGTAACATTACAACATTCTTCATCTCCATTGTCGTCCTTTTCCCCCTGATTTTGTATACCCAACGAATGGCCAGTCATTTTGGATAAAATTTTCGGCAGTCCAATAAGTAGGACGGTTGGCAACTGTTTCAACAGTGACTGTTTGAAAGTTTGAGACTTTCCGTTCGCCGTCCCTCTACATTATTTAACCTTATCTTGCATTCGCAGTGACGCATCGGTGAATCCTCACTTTTGTAGATTCGTTCATAACAAGGGTGCCATAGCAGGCATATCCAGTCATAGCACTCATCATTATCCTCTTCGTCATTCTGATCAAAATCAGCATCCAAAGACGACGTTCCAAGCCTGACTGGGATATAATCCACCAAGCAGAGGAAGAAGGAAAAGGAGAGACGCCTACCGACCGCCGTTCCCTAGAATTCATTGGAAATGATGTTGGTGGCAGTACTAGTATTAATGACGGAGGACGAGCTGTTGATTCGGCTGATGATGTCATGCATGATGGATCTGAGGAGGAGGGAGTAGATTCCCCACCTCCCTACGATTATATAGGGTTACCTATGCCTGGTAGTGTACAATCAATTTCTTTCGGCTTTACAAATGGCTCAAACTACTTTTTGTAAGGACTTTTTTCGGGCTTGGACGCTTTCCTCGCGTTGCTAGTTTTTAAATGGATATCGGTTTCGGTTTCCAAGTATGTAAGTTACTATCGCAGGTTTCGAACCGAAGACAGAGGGCACTTGAATATAGGCGCTTATTAGTGGCTTTTCACTTTCGTTTTATCTGTCCACGACCAACCTTTTCCTCCTCACGGCGTCGGCAATTCCTCTTATCCCACGTTCGAACAAAAGTAGATTCAACAGATAATGGGCCACAAACCAAGGACAGTCGCAGGGTGCGGAAAGTGTTCGTTCGAATGTGATATTAGTAGAAAGTATCATGTAGATGGTATGTACCACCCTACGAGCATCCTTTCTCTTTTCTCATTCAATTTGCGGAGAGTTTGTTATCAAAGATATGAGCAATTCTCGAATGGAAGCTGGCTACGTATATGGTTGATGCTATACAGGTATGTTACTCACGCAAATTGTCTAGCATCGATTCCCGACCACTTCGCTGACCTCGTTTACAGCTTTACCATCCCGCATGGTTCATTGTTCAAACATCATTGTTTCACCCTCGGAACTCGTGCTTATAATCACAAAGCTGTACGTTCAAAGCTGAGAATACTATAAGGCTTCTGAACGTGATGCGCATCTCGGTACGGAACTAAGAGATGTCGTTATTGGGATTACCAGCACACAAGATTTAATCAAAGGGTTGATGCAATGTCGTTGATATACGTATACTGTTAGATCTCTCCACCGAACTTGGAAAATGGCGGGACAAACCAGAAGCCAGAGAAGTTAATGTGGAAGTCGAACATAATGATATCCAACTTGGCTTTCTGATACTCCATCTAGACAGGATGCACAACACTCATCTGCTTCGGACGCATTGACGACAACTGTCCATCCCCGGCCGGTCATTGTTGTGGCGTTCTCGTCGGTGATGAACGTAAGCTGTGTTCAGTCCGTCATATAAGACGAGCAAAGAGTATTCATATGTTATTCATCATCAGTGTTCATCGTCTCTCGTATAGGTTATATATTCCACTTCCTTTGGTTTTACTCCCTCCGATTCATTTTGAAACCTCGGGGGCTCATATACGATCAGCATAAATGGCTTATTTATGTAAGGTTTTTGTTCCTTCCCTCTCTGAAAGAAAAGTATTAACGAAAGATGTGTTTTTCTTATCAAGTTGTTGCCCGTCATGGGTCTTTAGCTCTACGTTGTCACAGTCGAGCCAGTGAATGCTACACATTCTCAAGTAGTGTTACGTAAATATGTTCACTATTTTATAATCTTTCTGTCCTGAAATAAAACAACTCTATAGAACCGCTTTCACAATATTGACACCCCTACCTCCAATGATTTAGCCTGAATCTCCTCCTCCTCCTATCTCACCAACTACAACAGTGAATCCTGTGGCTACTCTGACTGCGATATCCTCTCCTACTACCTCAGCAACTACAATAGCGATTCCTGCGACTACCCAGCCAAGGGTACCCTCTCAAACTACCACACCGTCGACACTGATTCCAATTTCATCTCCCTCAAATTCAAAATGGTCAACGATTACTCCTTCTACTCATTCTTATTCGATATCTACTCTGCCTGGCAATTCTCCGACTTCGCTGATAACAGGCACTTCTAGTGCAAATATAACCGAAACTGAAAGTGGTGGTTCAAGTGCTATTAGTACTCACAGCGATGGGCCTGAGCCACCCACAACTGGATCCACGTCGTAAGTAATGTTAGATTCTTCGTTCCTTATCTTTGTCTTTTTCTTTCCCTACCTTTGTTCATCCACCAAACGACCGATTTTCGAATGGAGTTTGGCGGTTGTATGTTTGACATTATGCAGGTTATGCTGGTACCTCCTCTGTTCTCTAACAGTGATTTCGCTTCTATTTCTGACTACTTCGCCGCTTTCTTTTACAGTTTTACGATATCGCATGGGTCATGGTTTACAAATGATCATTTCTTCTTCACAACCGTGTTTACGATCACGAAAGTGTACCTTGAAATCTCAGAATACTATAGTTCTGAACGCCATTTGCTTCTCGGTGTGGTTACCGGAACTTTGCTGCTGGAGAGATTTCGTGATTGGGACTACCAGAAATGATTATCTACTGAAGAGAAGGTACGCCACACAAAGGATTTATCAAGGGATTGATGCACTGTCGCTGATATACAATGCGATGCTAGGTCTTTCCTCCGAACTTGGCAAATGGTAGCCTTGTTCAAGGTGGCCTAATTTCCTGTCTGTATCACCAAATTGGAGGAATAAGATGCAGAGATTTTTATGAAAGTCGAACGTAACAGCCAAGCTCTCTAGTACTCAGTCGATCCAGGACGCACACTCCGATATGTCGAGTCGAAAGAGTTGATACAACTGTCCATTCCCAACTGTTCATCGTTGTGGTGTTCTTGTTGGTGATGAACGTAAGCTGTGTTCAGTTCATCGTATAAAATGAGCAAATTTTCAAAGTAAACATTTGTGCTACTCATCGCCTCTACTATATTTTCAACGTTCATATTCCAACTCACCGTCTTACCGTTTTTGAAACTTCAAGGACTCAGACACGTTCGGCCTAAATGGCTTTTTCATTTTCAAACCCATTTCTCATGTGCGTATGTTTACCATTTTATATCTTTCTATCATAAAATAAGCCAACTCCATACTAGACCTACTGAGGTTTCAACTTCTGTAACTCAGGCCGATACTTCGGGAACTACTGATAGTCAAACTCTGCCTGCGATACCCTCTCCTACTACCCCTCCCACCACAAAGTTGACACCGATTCCGATTCCATCATCATCGACTTCGAAATGGTCCATATCGACATCGAACATCACTCCTCCTCCTCCTGATCCTCCTCCTCTTCCTATCATTTCTTCAATAACTACCCTCGCATCACTAACCAACTCTTCGACTTGGCTGACTCCTCTTCCTATCGCTTCTTCTACACCTACCCCCACGCCACTACCCAACTCTTCGACTTCGCTGCTAATGAGCATTTCTAGTGCGAGCGTAACTTATTCTCAAAGTAGTAGTTCAAGCTCTATCGGTAGTTTCAGCGGTAGTCCTGGCCTACACAAATCTGGATCCAAGTCGTGAGTAACGTTTTATTCTTCCTCTTCTTCTTTTCTTTCGCTACCTTCACCTACCCAACGAACGACCAATCATTTTGGATAAGACGTTCGATGGGTTTCGGTGTTTTTGGTATATTAGGACCTTTTTTTGGAACTGTGCAACTGAAGTTTCTCATTTAATATAACCTCTCATTCATGCTAACGCATCGACGAATTCTGACTTTTGTAGATTAATTCATAATAAGGGTGTAATAGCAGGCGTATCCACATTCATAGCCCTCATTGTCATCATCGTCATTATCATCCTCATCAAAATCACTATCCGAAGACGACGCTCAAAGGACTCTGATAACAGGGAAGAGGGAGAACAAGAGACACGTACCAACTCCCGATCTTCAGAATTCATAGGAAACGATATTGGTGACGATGGTGGAGGAGGATATGATGAAGCTTTCCGTGATCACCTATATCCGAGTCCGAGTACTCAGTTGAAACCAGGTCGGTCAGATGCGTTTCATGGAACTTACGACCAGCCGCAGGCTCGGATGGGATACTATAGCGAACTGCACGGAGCAAGAGGTGTTGATTCGGACGATCTCGTACATGAATCTGAGGAGGAAGGGTCACCTCCCTATGACTATATAGGGTGAGCATCATGGGTCGCTCTTGTGTCGGATATTGAATTGTGTATTGATAACAAACAATTCTTTACTGAATACAAAATATCATTTTTTGGTTTAAAGATGTACTCGCACATAGGTATGAACGTTTCCTGTATTGGATATCGATTCGACACCTCTTGCTATTTTTACGACACTGCTAGAGGCGGAAAACTGAGCCTAGAATCATTAGGAGATGGGACATGAATCGCTTTCCATACAGCCCCCTGGTGCTGTATTCTATCTGTTCACACGTAGTGCAAACGCAAGCCCTCCGGCATGCAGTGATCTCGTAAGAACGCTCTTATTGCTAGCTGGATATCGTAATCGAGGTCATACGTAGGTCTCCGGGCACGGCCAAAGATGCGAAACTCAGGCTAGTG